CTGCTAAGACATGGCTTTATATCAAGTCAGAGACAAAACGCATGCTTTTCACATGTCAAAATGGTGTGTTTGGGCGACCCGTTCCAGTATTAAGGATGACATCTACCCTACTAAAATACACCTCAAAAGTTATGATAAAAGAGCACATGGTGTGGCAAGTGCTACTCATGTAGCCAGTGTTACAATGATGATGGCCAGTGACGGACATTCCAAATGTACGGACACTGAGTCCGCAGACCACGCGGTAGCCCGAAAAAACTGACGTTCAGTACCTGTCGCTGCAGGAACACCTTGGAAATTGACAGAAAACATCAAGATACTGGTACTAGTTGAGACACTGAAGAGTGGACCACAGAGGGAAGATCGACGGCCGCTGCTGACAAGTGCTACTCACGTATCCCGTGTGACAACACTTAATCAACTGCGTGGCCAGTGACGGACATTCCAAATGTACGGACACTGACCCCGCAGACCCCGCGGTAGCCCGGATACAGTTACGTGAGTACCGTGTAACTCTGCCGCTGCACGTGCTCTCACCGAGGGGGAATGTTTCACGCGACAACAGAAAGCACTTTCTGTTGACAATTAGATGATGTGCGGCTCTTCTGATCTCGCATCCAACCATGAAAGAATTAATGTTTTTGATAGGCATTACTTAGAAGTTGGCGTATGACAAGGTAGACACAATTTCTATGGATAACAACTTCTTTAATACTGTAAAAAGCGACGTTTCGGTATAGATACTTAAACTGTTGTCAAGCACGGTCGCTTTTCACAGTATGAAAGAAGTTGCTATCCATAAAACTTGTGTCTTCCATGAAAGAATGTGCAATAGTATGTTTGACATTTTTTAAAATGAGAGTTGGAGATTCATAATGACGCCGACTGAATGCGTGACTGTAATAGTGCCTATTGTTGTCATGACAGGTGCGTGACACAGTGGAAGCGTTCGGAATATTGATGATAATATAAAATATATGTTGCCTATAGAAACCTTTGGGTGAGATTTAACATTGTATCACCTTGTATGATTTACTGTAGTGCCATGTGACTTTCTCAATTAAAGTATAGTGTATGTCTGACTTAAGCTATGACAGTTGGACATGTTCATGCAGGCAGATAGAGAATGATGTATAAATCAATATGTGCGTGTGGATATTTGTGACTCGGGCAGTCAACTGTGACGCCGTACTTGGTAACAGATGAAGTTAAGCTTTGAAAACCTTACATGTATTTCTGTTTTTGCTGACACAGACTCTACCAAAATGTCATGTTTGTGTAATTGCTTGCATGAAATTCAGAAAAGATTAGTAGATTGTGCTTACTGACGGATGAAGTTTAGCTTATATAACATCCGTTACTGCTGACAAGGCGTTTGTGTAATTGTTTACATGAGGCCCAGAAAAGATTAAATGCCCTGTCAATAATAATACAACATCTGGTGTTGTGAAATACAAAGCACAGTTATCAAACAACTCACAACAGCAATGTTCGAAAGTATAAATAAGTTATTCTGAGGAGAATATCACATCTTCTTTATTAAATGTTTGTTTTACACTCCTGGCATGGTAGGCCTTATAATTTGCACGTGGACATTCTACAGGGCGATAGAAACACTCACTCTATACACAGATGCGAGACAGTCCCACATACATGATAATATGTAATCTTGTATCACAGGGGGATGGGGTAGCCTCGGAGTTAAAGCGTTCGCTCGACACGCCGAAGACCCGGGTTCGATTTCCCACCTCTTTAGAGTGTGAGAAGCCCGTTTCTGTTGTCCCCCGACGTGTTATTGCGGGAATATTGCTAATGGCGGTGTAAAACAATACGCATTCACTCACTCTGCAGTGTTAGAAGCATGCAATACTCGTCATCCAATGGGTAACAGGTACACTGTGCATCGTAATATTCATATATTCCTGCAGCTCCAATCCTTAATGTATACTTTTGACTTTTGAGGTATAATCTACTAAGATATCAAAGAGCATCATACAGCTCTTGCTCAGAAGTTGTTTGATCAAGGTTATACGACTCAAAGCCTTTGTAAAGCTTTTAAAATGTTTATGGTAGGCAGTTTTATGTTTAGGACATTTCCAAATTTAACGCAACAGTGACAAACATGATGTCCGATGCAATTCCCTATTTTGTACCGTATGTTCCTGTGTTTTTTCAGGTGATCAATTGACTTGCCTTTGTATGTGTTTCTGACGGATGTCACCGGTGGGGCAGGATACGCTCGCCTTTTCGCGAACACCTGGTGTCATCACTACCTGATAGTTACTCATAAACACATGTCCATGACACAGTCGGAATCATACACTCGATTTTAACAGAGACTTCTTGTGGCTATGGAAAGAGACTTTTCCCTTTATTAATGCCTATTGAATATTCTCAACGTGGCTTTAGGCAAACAAAAACCTACATTTGTTTTTATTTGTTAAAGTGTTTGTGGCGGAAAATACTTACCCTTTGCACGAACACCTGGAGTCACCACTCATTTTTAGTGATGCAGTTGTAATTACAGCATATCATGATGTGTTTCCTGTCATTGTCTCATATTCTCTTCTGTTACTCATTCATCAATAATAATTTTCACCACTATTTTGCCTTTCACTTCCAATGGAACATCCTTCAATTGTGTAAAGTATTGAAATAGATTGCATACAACCCTCATGTTTTGTACAATGTCCCTGTCTGTGTTAAACAACACAAATGGTTATGTACGTTATGGACGCTCTCATCATGCATTTTCATTCACTTTCATACTACAGAATGATTAACGGGTATTTCGCACATTCATAATATTTGGTTGAATTATTAAACTCTCACAATAGATGACCCTTCCTTTCCGTTCTTGTGTTTAGTTTACCGTTAACAAAGTTCATCTTCCAAAACATAACAATCTGTCTCCCGAAAACAGACAATTCACCTGTGACTGCAGTGTCGATAATGTCAGCTGATTAAGCCAACATGTTGCATCCTCTATTATATGCGTTCGTCTCATTACCACAAGGATTCCAACGATACTTTCAGCCGATATATTGTTTTGATAATTAGATATTTCAAGTTTTGTTATTGAGACATGGAATAAAAACAATAAAAATATTTAGCATAACGTCCTCACATACACGAAGGTGAAGAAAAATACTCGCGTGTGGTGTGCACACTCAGTGCTGGGGCAGAGGCAATGCTACATCTATTACCAACTGCTGTCACTTGCTGGTTCTGTCAACACAGCCATTAAGGCCCGTGTACTGATACATGATACGTACAACAATCAAGGCCAGGTGTAAAGATGTGTATCATGTAGTGCACTATAGCATGAAATGTACAGTCGCAATTACACCCTAGCATGATGCGGGTCCTATCATTGTCTCAGCTTACCTTCTGTTACTCATTCATCAATAACTAAACAGAGATAATTTTAACGTTTCAGCATGCATCAGTTAACCTTTACTGTTGTAAACATCTATATTTAATGTACAAAAAATAGAGATGACAATTCTTTACCAGCTCAAATACAATGAATAAGCAAAGAATTTAGAAAATGGAATGAGGGATGTTATCGTTATGTGTTGGATAAGGTGCCATGTTTAATGTTTGTAGAAAGCAAAGGATTTATAAAGTATTTTCAAGCAGAATACATTTGCGGTTCATGCTATATTTAATGTATATGACAAATTCATGATGGCACTTCTTTTACCAGTTAAAATACAATGAATAAACAAACATGTAATAAATGCTTTGGATTTGTTGGAGGTGAAGCCAAGAATTATTTAACGTAGCTCGTAAGGGTTTGATTAATAACATGTTCGTGTGAGACGAGTAGATGATTTAATCAGAATGGATTTTCGCCCTTTTTACCAATATTCTAGCAATATCACATCAGACTTTGGCATTTTCTGTGTGAAGATATTTACTGAAGGTCATGTAGGTATGTACAGCACGAACTTTTGTAAACATGTACACTGTGGGTCAACATTTTGTTTGCATATGTCTACTAATGCTTGCACAGCCGATTTCATATAGCCATACATCTGTACATGGTTTTCTATGTGGGTCCATACGGTGAAACAAACGTAACTTGTTTTAATGCAGAAATTCATAAAACACGTTTTCTGACTTTTACTTTGCTTGACGTTGTAAATGTAACATATAGGATATATGTCAGAAGCCACTGTTTAAAAATATGACTAATGATTCCTTCACACCCTACACGTGTACGATATTAATCTTTCAATCAACTGCAATGTTTGGTAACATTTGTTCTGAAGTATGATGCACGAGTAGGTGTTAGGTCCTGGTAGATGAGTATATATGTCTCCCCGTTCTACCTTCACTGTCGGTGTGGAATGAAGACAATGACGATGCTGCATACAACGTTCATCCTCCTCCTCTGCCTGGAACTTGGTGCAGGTTACTATAGTTTCAATTATCTTTACAAATGATTATAATGTGTGTATTGATGTTAACTTCTTAGGGGGTAGTTGTGTGCAGGATGGGTCTGTTATTTGTAGCTTCGAGTTTTTCGTCTTGCAGTTCTCAACAACAAACCTTGCACTTCCAACATTATTTATAAGCATACACTTTTTTAATCACTAAAAAAGTTATACTCAGTTTTCAACTATTGAGGTCACTATTCAATTATCCACCCAGTTTGGTACTTGTTTTATAAATCAGACACGTTATCTCTGGCGTTCGGAACTAGATATATAGTTTTTATTCACCCGCACACTATCTATGAAGTTGAACGCATGAGCTATTTGAAGGACATTTTGTCCGTTGTTGAACGCCACATTCAGCAATATTCCAATTGTGTGATGGCGGTCGGTAAAATGTCGAGTGTGGATATATAAGCATTTGATTCCACGAGATAAATGAGTATAGGTGCGTTTCTGTAATACACTAGTAATGGAGAGGGAAACTTAAAAACACATGACGTGGCCACTTTGCTTTCTGTTTTGGAGGTGCTTCCTTGACGAAAAACAAAACATGTCATTGCTCTGTACTCGGCTTCCACGAACCGACAGTTCTTGCATGAGCTGAGGTCGCTGCTAAGCCTCTATCTGGGGGAGAAGGTTCTACAGCCAGTGACCTCCACTCCACAAAGTAGCAGCTCGGGTAAACACGCCTTTGTGTTTCTGTGTATGTTTAGTCTTTGATGTCAGGAAGGTATATATAAGATGGTGATTTCAATACTTGATGATTGCTTTCAATTCATGAAAATTATGTTGCCGTCGTCTGTATTCAACCGTTTACACTATCTCATGTACTTTGAATAATACAGCAAAAACTGCGAAAAGTATAAAATATGCACGTCTCTCCCCGCCATGTATTTATTTGTCTGTACTGCAATCTATGTGTTTTTCAGGTGGAGGAGCTGTGTTCACTCGGTGGGGAAAGACAACATGTCCGTCAGGAAATGATGTCATATATAAAGGTGAAACATTTGGGATAATTTTTCGGAGCGTCAAAAGGAAGTAAATAATGTGGGTTTTTTTCAAATGGGGTCATAAATGTGTTTGATTTTTTATGACATTTTAAAAATTGTCAGGGTGTCAGTTGAATCAAAGTAAACTCTGTAGGCTCTGTTTTGCTTTTCTTCGTTAGGACATATGAAATTAATTTGAAAAGGCCAATATCGAATATACTCCATTTCATGTATGAACGATCATGAATGTACTTTACACGAATTGTTTTCGATCAATATTTATCGGTATATAAATCACATATTATTGTATTTTGGATAGCTAATGCTGCTGTGCATTCGATTCCAAATTTAATCTTGCACGGTTAAATCTACTAGTAACCTAGTTCTACCCTGGAGACACAGTATGTTAATCTCCAATCCTATAAAAAAACAACACTCTTTGGTGTCAGCAATGTTATTTATGGTGAGAAGAGATGAGGTTTAATGTTGTGTTCACGATGAGTGCACTTGTATAGTGACGTGATTCACACATTCTGTGTGTGGCTGCTTGTCCGAGCCCTGACTGATGCCAGTTGCATTGTGTTAGCCTCCTGAGATACCATAATAACAAGTTGATGAAATGATAATAAGGCTACGCTACATCAAACTATGCAGATTTCCAAAACATCCATGATTAATCCTGATCATCATGCATACATATCTGATACAACTTCAGTAAACATGCCATGCCGAGGTAGCAGCCCAGCATTATGTTCCGGAAGAATATCCACATTTTTGGTGTCTGCAGTCTCTGCTGGCAAACATTTTACCATTATCTCGTGATATTTCTCGATATAAGGATCACGTGACCACGTGTATCACGCTGCGAATAGTATTCGCATTTGCTTACAAACGTATGTTGTACTTGGTTGAAATGATGTACACTCGCCTGTTGCTGTGAGATTTTACATAATTCTATCCACATGAGATATCAACGTACTTTGTACATGGTCGACATTTGCGGTTGCTGGTAGAAATGGACATGCGTACCCTTTTGGCGAACATCAAGATTTTTCAGTTATCCATTTACATAATTTCAATACTATTCTGCCTTTTACACCCAATGGAATCTGTTTCTGTATCCTTTCAGATGAAAAATGATAAATAGAATTCACCTCTTGTCTTGCCAATGACTCAGCAAATTGATTAACTAAGACTTATCAAAGCATTAACAATATGATGAGCACAAGTATTCTCTAAATTATTTTGTTTCCAGGCAACTATTTGATTTGACTAAAACAGAAGTAAATTCTAGTCCCTTTCAATCTCCCAGGTTATGCAGGAGGAAGCCATTGTTGGGCCAAGGGTGGACCAGGGACAACTCTGTGCCTTCCTGAATCTCCGATCTACGCTAAGCATACTACAGCAGGATCAGGCAGTACGCTCTATGGGACTGAGTATCAACTAGAACGTCCCTCTCTTCCACTACGAAAAATGTATCAACATGATGTACCTTGTGTGGTGTGCCGCAGTCGTCACAGGAGGAGTGCTGTCATGGTCCCTGCCAGGAATGAGTGCTTCCCTCAGTGGCATCTGGAATACAAGGGGTACCTCTTCGGGGGAGCCACTTCACACCCAGGTTCAAGTGATTATGTGTGTGTAGATGGAGACCCAGAACCCATAAAAGGAGGCCATGAAGACAAAAACGGACATCTCTTGTACCCGGTGGAGTCCAAATGTGGCGCTCTGCCTTGTCCACCGTATGTTGATGGATGGGAGATGACATGTGCTGTTTGTACAAAATAAAACACTCCATATAGTCCATACTGTCCGTCAAATATGTACATTAACTGTGTCTTACATACATGTGATAAACACATTCAGCTTTCATAAGACTAACGATATCCATTCAAAACTGTGAAGATCCGGGATAGAAAAGGGCTTCAGCAACCCATGCTTGTCGTGACAGGCGACTATGCTTGTCGTAAGAGGCGACTTAAGGAGTTAAACAACAAACAAACCAAACAAACACACAATGTGTATGTAAGTTTATTAAGGTGCATGAGGCACAAAAGGCAGCATTTGGTTGTCTCATTATGTAAGGACAGACTGAGCACGTTGACCAGTCAGTTTAGTTATTGTTGGCTGAAGGTCATAGCTGAAAACGTATCATTAATCCATAGAGAATACTACACTATTCTCGTTAGATACCATTTCTTCGAAACGAGTGGACTTTCTATGGTATCTGACCGAATTAAAGCAAGGTCAAATACCAGAGAATGTTCACGAGTGAATATTGACATATGCCCAAATATGAGCATTGTTGACATTTCTATGCATACGCATTAACAACATGCTCCTACTGTTGTGTTTGCTAACATAACAGCATCGACGTTCAAGATGCTTTTTGAAGAATTTCTTCAACTTTTGTTAATTCAAGTGCATTGTTGTTAGTACGCAGCAACGCTTCATTTCACCACGCCTAACCTTGTTAAATCAAATTGAAAGTCGCGAAAGTGGTTGGGTGCGTCAAGCCCATTGTGACCCTCCATCAATCGGTAGACATTGCATATGGATAGCCTACAAGCTCCATTATATAATGTCTGCAGAAGCTCTATGCATAACTAATATAGAATGCAAAAGCGAATTTAATGCATGTGACAATCTTGTTTGATTTAAAAAGTGTTGTAAATATGTCTCGCTTTCATGATATTCCTTTACTTCTGCCATATAGTTGTTAAACTGAATGACGAATCGCGATAGTTATGAATGAAAAAGTAGTCCCGGTGTGACAGTGGTCACGGTTATCCAATCAAAATGAATAAAACGAGGTTCACTTTGTACGACACACGTGTGTCGTACGGATTGAGTATCTTGAAACCTGTTTTCTTCAACACGTGGGTAATAAAGTAATTGACATCATTAGCATCGATCCACGCGATTGGGATACGATGGCATACATCAACCAAATCAGCGAGCCTGACCAGCCGATCCCGTGTGTCGCCTTTTATGACAAGCATGGAAGACCCATTCTACCCCGGATCTTGACGGGTCTTTAAGCTTTCTGAGGTGCATGTGGCACCAAAGATAGCATTTGGTTGCCTCATTTTGTAAGACTGACCACGTTGCCCATCCAGTTTAGTTATTGCTGGCTGAAGGTCCTAGCTTCGCCACTGATGAGCTTCTGGTCAGTGTCATTACACAAAGTATTTAACATGTATGGTTTCCTAAGTGATAAAGGTCCAACATTGCAGCATATCATCTAAATCAATCAATCAAATAATGGTTTCTTGAATGAAATGCCATCGGCCCAAATACACGCAAGTTACATTGACATGTCGTCATATTAACGAATACTGAAGTATACTGAGTATCAAGACAACTGACGACAGACAAAAGCATGATGAAAGATACTTGTAGCTGTAAGTTATTGTCTGTTTTCAAAGCAGACAGGTTCAGTCTCTCAGCATGCTATGACACAATGTTACACCGATTACACAAGTACCTCAAAGTGACACTAAATGAAGTGTTCTCTTGCCAAAAATAAAGATACATTCTAAATGTTTATGTGTGGTCTAAACTCTGGACACTAAATGACAAAACTACAGTTTCTTAACCAGTCTGTGTTAATAAAAACCTAAAATAGTTTGGATCTTAATTATATATCTTGTCGGTAGTTACAAAGCTTTACAAAAACCTTCAACTGATGTGAAATGTATTGTTTCATAACACAAGGGACATAATGTACTCATGACGTGGATTCAAAACTATGGATAGCTGCAAACTGTGTGAGCATTAGAGAAATTCCTGGCTGAATCGACAGAAGCACTGATTGGGTAGAAATTATTTTACGATGCTTCAGACAATACCCAAGACACATCTCAAGATGCAAACTATGAGCATTATAGAAATTCACTATTGAATCTATAGAAGCACTGATTGGGTAAACGAGTTATTTTACGATGCTTTAGACAATACCCTATCCATATCACTGTAGAAAATATAATAATTACGTAGCAGAGCAAAACTATGAGTGGCAGTTAGAGGTAGATTCAGTCATCATATGCTTTCCTGGGTATTTCTTTGGGGGGGGGGGGGGGGACCAGAAGTGATTATTTCTTTTAACAAACTGGAGGAGCATGAGTTACGGAGTAGTTGGTACTTGGTCTAACTGATTTACACACGCAGTCGCTGTGTAATTTTACGTCTCATCAAGAGAGTTTGGGGAGAATATTTTTTATAAATCAAAGGAAATTTAAAAGTCAACGCCAGAGAGGAAACAGTCTCGATTATCTTCCAAAACAAATTCCACAGGACGTGAAATGAGAAATAGTGGTAAAATGAAATAAATGGATCACTGGAAATCACTTCTCTATGGTGTTTTATCCTTCACATACATTTGTCAGCATCACCATGTTCAATGATTTCCGAGGGTTGATCAATGTCAACACAAAGTCATTTTGCTGGTATCTTCAAGCAACACATAACCCAAATTCGACATTAATGTTGGAACTCAACAGGAATAAAAGAATATTTTCAGATTTATGCACAAAGAATCAGGGTGACAAAACTCTATGCACAAAACTGTATGACAAGACGGATGACTTCCAAAAATCAAAATTTCACAAGTTTTAAGGTACAATCGAGTATGCACTTCATACAAGCCTTGCTAAAAATTCTGTGATCAAGGTGAGAAGATTCAAGGCCTTAGAAAAGTTCTCTGAATGTATTATGGTACATGAATATGGAAATGTATTTGTCGCAATTATCGATGCAACGTATCTTTTGGAATGACATTGATCTGTATTATTAATAGGATGTACAAGTGGGTATATGTGATTTGTAGCTTCCACAATAACCACTGTAACATCGCGCAGTAATTCCATGTTATCACATATCTAAGAGGGTATACAGGATTTGTAGCTTCCGCCATAACCACTGTAACATCGCGCAGTGATTTCACGTTATCACCTATCTAAGGGTGTAAACAGGATTTGTAGCTTCCACAATATCAACCGTACCATCACATAGTGTTTGTTATCACCTGTCCAAGAGGATATAGGTGATTTGTAGCTTTACTCAGTCGGGATAATCGCCTCCCCTATGGGGAAATTTGGGATTTACCGTCCCAATATTAGTCTGCCTAAAGCTGACTACACTGCCATTGGTGTGATCATGTCCAACTGTCCCGACATTGGTGCGCTTATGACCGACTGTCCCGACATTACTGTGCTCATACCCGACTGACCTGACATTGGTGTGTCATAACCGACTGACCTGTCATTTGTGTGTTCATACCCGACTGACATTGGTGTGTTCATGCATGTACCTGAGGAAGTAGTGCAGTCAACATTATGTTTGTGACGTCATAATGACCTTAAGGTCATAGTCAGTGACAATAGCGTCAGCCGTAAATGCATTGCTGTGTGAGTCCACAAATACACAGAGGGAATTATTGAAAATAATACATTTGAATTAGGTTGGAATTTCATAAGCATAATGAACATTTTCTCTTTTTCGATTCGTAAATGTTTAACATTGTTAAACAATTTCTAACACGAAAAGAAACTGAAATGGCTTACATTTATGCAACGTACATTTGGATCTCGAATTTCCTGTCTCTGAACATTCATGTGTGTTTTTAGCTGAATACCAGTTTCCCCACATTACTGCTCTCCACATTAGTATGTTTATGCCCGGACATTGATGCGCTCAATGCCCGACCGTCCTCTCACAGGTGTGTTCATGACTGACTGTCGTGACATTGATGTGTTCAAGTCCTGACATGGGTGTGCTCATGCCAGATTTCGTTGACACTGGTGTGCTCATGCGAGATTGCCTTGATATTAGTGTGCCATTGGTGAACGCATGAACAACTGTCCTGACATTGGTGAACGCATGACCAACTATCCTGATATTAATGTGCCCATGACCGACTCTCCTGACATTGGTATGCCAATGACCAACTGCCCTGACATCGGTGTACTCATGACCAACTGTACTGACATTGGTGTGTCCATTACCAACTGTCCTGACATTGATGTACTCGTGATCAACTGTCCTGACATTGATGTACTCGTGATCAACTGTCCTGACATTGATGTACTCGTGATCAACTGTCCTGACATTGATGTACTCGTGATCAACTGTCCTGACATTGATGTACTCGTGATCAACTGTCCTGACATTCATGTACTCATGATCAACTGTCCTGGCATTGATGTACTCGTGATCAACTGTCCTGACATTCATGTACTCATAAACAACTGTACTGACATTGATGTACTCGTGATCAACTGTCCTGACATTGATGTACTCATGATCAACTGTCCTGACATTGATGTACTCATGATCAACTGTCCTGACATTGATGTACTCGTGATCAACTGTCCTGACATTGATGTACTCATGACCAACTGTCCTGACATTGATGTACTCGTGATCAACTGTCCTGACATCGGTGTACTCATGACCAAATGTCCTGACATCGATGTACTCGTGATCAACTGTCCTGACATCGGTGTACTCATGACCAAATGTCCTGACATTGATGTACTCGTGATCAACTGTCCTGACATCGGTGTACACATGACCAACTCTCCTGACATTGGTGTACTCATGACCAACTGTCCTGACATCGGTGCACTCATGACCAACTGTCCTGACATTGATGTACTCATGATCAACTGTCCTGACATTGATGTACTCGGGATCAACTGTCCTGACATTGGTGTACTCTTGACCAACTGTCCTGACATTGGTGGACTCATGACCAACTGTCCTGACATCGCTGTGCTCATGACCAACTGTCCTGACATTGAT